TATATATATATATATATATATATATATATATATATATATATATAAAAATGAGGTTATCTGTCATGTTATATATTATGTTATCTTGAAATAGTGACTCAATTGACATAAGTTTATTAGTGAAATCAAACTGGTTTACGCTGTATAAATGTGATATGTGTAACAAAGTTGAAAATGTTCATTGAATTAAGATTATTATGGTATCACTTTGTGTTTTTGTTTTTTGCTTTTGTTGTCGTTTTACGTATAAGAAAGGCAAGATGCAATACTTAGTTCTTTTTGAAATTAATTATAATTTTTTATACAAAATAATTGAGGATATGGCGATTTGTTGCAGGACGGACTGATTGAAACTTTGCGAAGAACACGAGTTAAATTTGTCCATTGCATACTACCGCAACACAATGCTGGGTGTACTGACAATAAGAGTTTATTGTCAGTAAAATCAAATCAAAGCGAGGACAGTGTTATTAATGTACCGCTTTTACGATCGCAGGTAAATAAGATGTAATCAACTTCATCAATTCAATTTTACTTAAGCATTTATGGTTGATGTGAAAAATTAAAAATAGTTAATGTAAAATTAAAGCAATTAGTAATATAACGATTGAATTTTATTCAGTACAATAAATACTGTTTTTTTAAGAATATTTCTCAATTTCTTATGTAAAATATTTTAAAATATCTTAATTTTTGTTACAGATTCGTGGAAGCCAAATAATCGATGCGGTTCGATTACATAAAGTGGGATTTCCTAAGCATATAGCTTTAGGTGAATTCAGAAGACGATTCGGTTTATTGTCAAGTGATGTGAACACGCGACCAGGCAGTCCTGTGGCTGATGAACGTCGTGCTGTAGAAGATATGATGCTCACCATTGATGTCGATCCAGCTTTGTACCGAGTTGGGCAAAGTCAGGTAAGTCATATCCATTTTGCATTTCATATTAGTAGTAATATGGTATTGAAGAAAATAAAATAAAGCTAAAGGGAGCTTCTTTTTAAAGTTCTTAAAATAAATATCTTTGGTATATACTAGAAACTTGTATTATAAAATAATACTATATTTTATGTATGTAAACAAAATTAGTAACGAATTATAAAATAAAAGTTTAGTTTGTTTTACGTATAAAATATAAAAAAAAAAAATATTCACGTATAGAAGGTTAATTTTTTAGCTAAAAACTCCAGTGTCAGGACGTCTTTTTACACAATTTTACACTTATGTATCTCCCTCGTTCACATCTTAAAATTATGGGCAACTTTCCCATTTCATCTTTTTCAATTTTCGACGTACACGTTTTAATATCAGCAGGACTCGAATGTCTAGGATCATATCTCTCACACTCGTAGAAGCACTTTCACTTTTTTCCGCGCGGATAGTAAATGCTTTTACTCGATGTGTTCTCCTTATCAAAATAAACGACGATGGAAAGGCATATCGATGGTGTTATCCTAACTTGTAACACCGGTCTTAAATATCACCGCTGGTATATAGATACTTTGCTTAATATCAATTGCACTCGTAGCAAGTATTCGAAGTGCTTCCGCAATTTGATTCGCCATACGTCGTCCGTTCGAGTGTGAGAATTTTCGACAACGTCACATGCTTAAAACATTCGTTTTCTCAAGGAGAATCGCTTTACGTGATTTCGGTCAACTTTCTCCACGAATTCGATTACAGTTTCTTCGGTGTGTACACCATGAACAGAGATCTGTATCGATGTGAACTCAATGATTAAGATGTTCGTACGATGTTTACAATCATTGGTCAAGTATTGGCTTTTATTTAAGTACATTATTTAAATAAATGTGTAATTTTAACGATTAACTAAAGCTACGCGTTTATGCAGAGTGTCGTTTTGTAACGTAGACTAAGAAGTTACAAGTATGGTCCGCTTTTTTTTTTTTTTTTTTTTTTTTTTATAGGCAATCATGTTAATTTGCATTTGATTTCATGGAATCGTAATAGCAACAGGCCGTGCATAGTTGCTTTCCACACGCGTCAGATGCAATCGCATGTGTCTTTATTGGCACTTTTTACGATGGAATGGCACAGCGAGATTAAAATTACCAGACCCGAGCTATAC